TGAGCACAGTTGAAGGTGGAGAGGCAGCCAGGCAGGCAGAGATCGGGGAGGGCGTTCCTGCCAGAGGGAGCAGCCAGCCCAGGGGCCCTGGGCAGGGTGTGGGGTGGGCTCTGAGACGAGCAGGGGACTAGGCAGGCACCGACAGCAGGGAGGCCCCTCAGGAAACGTGCAGTGACGGTGGCCACAGAGGATGGGCAGGGGGACCAGGCGCTTGGCCTGCGGGTGTGCAGAGCTTCCTCTGTTTGTTTCAGTGTTTGGCCTCCTGGAAGGTTCCCGGCTCACCAGGTGACCACCTGCGCTCCCAGCCCCCTGGGCAGCTGGGCCACGTGCTGGGGTTTTGACCGAGGTGTGTGAGCGGAAGTGGTGGGAGTTGAGCAGCGCCCTCAGCCCTCCCCCTGCGGCCCCACCTCCAGCCACGTGGAAGCAAAGCCACGTGGAAGCAAGACCGAGTCTGCAGCTCGGGACCTGGGCGTAAACATCCGCCGCGTCTCTGATACAGAGCATGCGCGGTTCTCACCATCGGGCGGAGGCCGAGGATGCTGCCTGCTGAGCCTGCAGGGTGCCAAGCAGTGGTCCCGAGTGGCCATGAGCCAGGCCAGGGGAGAGCGTGCTGGGCACGTGCTCAGTGAGCCACGAGGAGCGGGCAGCCTCCCCTCCCTCCCTCGCTCAAGTGATTTCTTATCTCAGCCGTGGGTGGTGTCAGGAGGGGCCGCCCGTCACCCGCCGCGAGATTTTCCTGTCTTCCCCTCTGCTTTCCGGGGACAGAGAGTAGGGCCGAGGGAGCAGGCAGGGCTGGGCCGTGCTCTTCCCCGAGACGGGGGCTTGGCGTCTGTGGTGGCTGAATGGCAGCCCCAGAGACCTCTGCCTGGAAGCTGTGAGGGGTCTCAAGATGAGATCCTCCTGGAATTAGGGTGGGCCCTAAATCTGATGGCTGCTGTCCTTACCCGAGAGAGGAGAGGGGAACCTGAGACACAGACCCACAGCGGGGGAGGCCGCATGACGGGAGGGATGGGGCCACAAGCCAAGGGCACCTGGGGCCACCAGAAGCTGGGAGAGGGAGGTGGGACCCTCCCCTGGAGCCTCAGAGGGAGCGGGGCCTCAAGGGCTGTGAGAGAATGTGTCTGTTGCTTACACCTGGTCTGTGGTCCCCGTTACGCAGCCCCAGGAAACGAGGGCGGCCTCTAGTTGGTGTGAGCTCTAGCAGGCTCTGCCTTCCATGCCTCCCGTGAAGCCAGCCCCGCTTCTCAAGCCCCTCTCCTCATGGGCCCCAAAGTGGGTTCTGGAAATTCAGGCTGGAGCCCCGAGGCATCAAGGCCACTCTGTGCAGTCGCTGTGCGGGAGGAATGGGCCTTGATGAAGCCGGCGCCACTTAAACTGGGCGTAAGGCAGAACGTTTAGGCTGAAGAAACCTAGACAAGAGGCCAGGGGGACCCACGGAGTGAAATCCATGCCCAAGACTGAGAAACACCCAGTTGTATTTGTCAGCAAGACTTTAGCTTAAAGTACTCGTGCCTGCCAACTTACCGTGACGATTTAGCCCAAGGAAGTGTTTCTAATGTGGAGTACAGCCTTGATTTTAATAGTGAAGAAACTACAGGAGGAAACTCTAAATGTCTAATAACTGGGGCAATAGGGAAGTGAATTAAGGCCCATCCTCTCTGCGATAAGAAATGACAACTTTCGGACTTCCCTGGTGGTGCAGTGGTTAAGATTCCGCCTGCTAATGCAGGGGGCACGGGTTTGATCCCTGGTCCAGGAAGACCCCTTCCACCGCAGAGCAACTAAGCCCGTGCGCCACAACTACGGAGCCTGCGCTCTAGAGCCCGCGAGCCACAACTAATGAGCGTGCGTGCCACAACTACTGAGGCCCGTGGGCCTAGAGCCCATGCTCTGCAGCAAGAGAAGCCACCACAATGAGAAGCCCACACACCGCAACGAAGAGTAGCCCCCACTCGCCGCAACTAGAGAAAGCCCTCGCGCAGCAACAAAGACCCAATGCAGCCAAAACGAAAAACAAATCCCACAACATTGTAAATCAACTATATTTCAATAAAAATTATTAAAAAAAAAAAAAAAGAGGGCTTTCCTGGTGGCACAGTGGTTGAGAGTCTGCCTGCCAATGCAGGGGACACAGGTTCGTGACCAGGACCGGGAAGATCCCACATGCCGCTGAGCGGCTGGGCCCATGAGCCATGGCCGCTGAGCCTGCGTGTCCGGAGCCTGTGCTCTGCAACGGGAGAGGCCACAACAGTGAGAGGCCCACGCACTGCAAAAAAAAAAAAAGAAAAGAAATGACAACTTTCAAGTGTGGCTGCATGGACAAATGTTTGTGAACTGATGTTATATTTCAACTATAAAATACAACAGTTTCCAGAAGACAGTGGCCGTGTGGGGGAGGTGTGACCAGCACAGCATTGACATTAAGAGGCTGTGGGATCAGTCAGGCCTGGTCAGGTCCCGTGAGCTCGTGTGACTGACTTAACCTCTCTGACCCTTGGTATCTTCTTCTGTACAGTGAGGAGAACATTGCCTGTGGTACCCGTCCTTTCTGGGACGTGGTGGGTTGAGTGAGATGAGGCGAGTAAGGTGCTTAGCACATGCCTGGCACCTCCAAAGTGTCTGAATTAGAAGAGGCTTGGGGTAAGAATCTGACCGAAGAGAGCTTGGGCCAAGTTGATCAGACTGAGTTGTTCATGGTGAAGTCGACCTGGTGGGCTGCACCAGCATTTTTTCAGTGGGATGGGGTAGAGTGGGATAAGATAGGGTAGGACATTAGTCTGGGTTCTCCAGAGATGATAAGGAATTGGCCCACACAGTTATGGAGGCTCAGAAGTCCAAGACCTGCAGTTGGCAAGCTGGAGGCCCAGGAGAGCTGAGGGTGTGTTTCCAGACCAAGTCTGAGGGCAGGAGAAGACCAGCAGCCCAGCTCGATGACCGTCAGGCAAAGAGAGTGAACTGTCCCTCCCTCAGCCTTTCTGTTCTGTTCAGGCCTTCAACTGATTGGTTGGGGCCCACCCACACTGAGGAGGGCAATCTGCTTTACTCAGTCCACCAGCTTGTGTTCATCTCACCGGGAAACATGCTCGTGGACACACCCAGAGCTGTGTGAACCAAATATCTGGGCACCGCCTGGCGCAGGTAGGATTGCATAGATGGGGTAGAATAGGACAGACTAACACACCCCGTGCCTGGTGAGGCTAAGTTTTGTTAGGTAAAGCAGTGGAGAAGCAAGCAGGCACGAAAGGAGATCCTGATGCACGATACCGTTTCTATCACAAGTGAGGGTTCTAGCAGCTATAGGGACTCTGGGGAGGCTTATTTGCAGAAGAAACAGCTGTTTGTTTAGACTTTTCCTTTAGACCGAGACTGTGTCTGGGGTGCTTGAAGCACTGTTTGCATAGCAAGCTGCTCTTTTTTTTATATATAAATTTATTTATTTTTGGCTGCATTGGGTCTTCGTTGCTGCACGCAGGCTTTCTCTAGTTGTGGCGAGCGAGGGCTGCTCTTCATTGCGGTGCGCCGGCTTCTCATTGCGGTGGCTTCTCTTGTTGCGGAGCACGGGCTCTAGGCGCACGGGCTTCGGTAGTTGTGGCACGTGGGCTCAGTAGTTGTGGTGCACAGACTCTAGAACACAGGCTCAGTAGTTGTGGCTCGTGGGCTCTAGAGCACAGGCTCAGTAGTTGTGGCGCGAGGGCTTAGTGGTTGTGGTGCACGGGCTTAGTTGCTCCGCGGCATGTGGGATCTTCCCGGACCAGGGCTCGAACCCGTGTCCCCTGCGTTGGCAGGCGGATTCTTATCCACTGCGCCACCAGGGAAGTCCCACAAGCTGCTCTTTTAAAATTAGACTGTAGGTTGGTTCTTCCAGCTGCGGGGGGAGGACAGCTGCTGGTGGGAAGTAACCCCTCTCAGGCCAGGCTCTGGGCCCAGAGTAAACACTGAGTGGTGGCAGGGGCCATAGGAAAGGGGTAATAATGAGTTGTCAGGATGTCAGAACAAAATCCCTGCATTGTTTAGATCGTGGGACGCGCAAGAGAACTGCAATTCGGCGGGAAATCCAGGAGGGGGCAGCCTTGCCCCCGGGCCTTGGTGGGCTTAACCCAAGGCCACGGCTTCTCTTTGGCGTCTTCCGCTGGAACGGCCCAGGCGGCCGGGCCTCCTTGCCCTCTGGAAGGCCTGTCCCGGGGACTGCAAACAGGAGATGCGGAGGGAGGAGCGAGGGCTGCTCTTCATTGCGGTGCGCCGGCTTCTCATTGCGGTGGCTTCTCTTGTTGCGGAGCACGGGCTCTAGGCGCACGGGCTTCGGTAGTTGTGGCACGTGGGCTCAGTAGTTGTGGTGCACAGACTCTAGAACACAGGCTCAGTAGTTGTGGCTCGTGGGCTCTAGAGCACAGGCTCAGTAGTTGTGGCGCGAGGGCTTAGTGGTTGTGGTGCACGGGCTTAGTTGCTCCGCGGCATGTGGGATCTTCCCGGACCAGGGCTCGAACCCGTGTCCCCTGCGTTGGCAGGCGGATTCTTATCCACTGCGCCACCAGGGAAGTCCCACAAGCTGCTCTTTTAAAATTAGACTGTAGGTTGGTTCTTCCAGCTGCGGGGGGAGGACAGCTGCTGGTGGGAAGTAACCCCTCTCAGGCCAGGCTCTGGGCCCAGAGTAAACACTGAGTGGTGGCAGGGGCCATAGGAAAGGGGTAATAATGAGTTGTCAGGATGTCAGAACAAAATCCCTGCATTGTTTAGATCGTGGGACGCGCAAGAGAACTGCAATTCGGCGGGAAATCCAGGAGGGGGCAGCCTTGCCCCCGGGCCTTGGTGGGCTTAACCCAAGGCCACGGCTTCTCTTTGGCGTCTTCCGCTGGAACGGCCCAGGCGGCCGGGCCTCCTTGCCCTCTGGAAGGCCTGTCCCGGGGACTGCAAACAGGAGATGCGGGGAGGGAGGAGGGTGCCCTTGGCCCCGGTGGCTGCCGGGAGGGGCGGGCCCGCCATCCAGGCCCGGGTCCCCACAGGTGTGGCAGTGCGGCGGCAGCATGGAGGTTCTGCCCTGCTCCCGCGTGGCCCACATCGAGCGCACCAGGAAGCCCTACAACAACGACATTGACTACTACGCGAAGCGCAACGCCCTGCGGGCGGCCGAGGTGTGGATGGACAGCTTCAAGTCCCACGTGTACATGGCCTGGAACATCCCCATGAGCGTAAGCTGGTGGACGGGGTGGTGAGGGGGAGGGCTGGGGGCGGGGCCTGCCCCCGGGGACAGCCTCAGGGGTCATCCAAGGCATAGCCCGGCCACGCGAGGTGGGGCCTCCTGGGCAGCTCAGCCAGGATGAGTCTCAGGAACGTCATGACCTTCACCAAGCAGAGCCCGTTTTCAGCAGCTGTGACGCTGGTTGGCACGCCTCCCTCCCGCCACGAGAGCTCCTTCCCTCCATGGTGTGAGCCCCTGAGCGGCTGCAGACGTGGCACTGCAGGGTCGCAGTCGCTGCTGCGCTGAGAGCTGCCCCAGGGTGAACACAGCCCCTCCTGGGACACATAGCATACCCCTCGCCATGCAGAAGCCTCTCCCCGTCAGTTCTGCACGAGGCCACGGTGATACGATGACCGTAATGATGACCCCATCACTTCCACACGGCAGATTGGCAAACTGAGGCGCACGAGGGTGCGCGGCTGAAAAGAGGCAGAGCCGGAATGTAACTCGGTCCTCCGCAGGACCGTGTCACGAGGCTCTCAGGGCCCTCCTGCTGTGGGGATGGCGGCTTCTCCCACGTGTGATGTCTGCAGCCAGATCTGCCTGCCCTGCAGGGAGTGGGGGCAGGAGGGGTCTGTTCAAGGGGTCTGCCTGTGGCCAGTGGGAAGCAGGATCTGGGTGTGAACCACAGGGTCCTAACCACGGCCTCGGGGGCGGGGCAGCCCGGAGAAGGGGCTTGGGCGTACACGTGTGTGTGCACTGTGTGCATGCATGTATATGCGTGTGCATGGGAGTGCTGAGGACAAGCTGCCCGTCCCGCTCACCCCCACTGGCTGCAGGACCAGCCTCACGCACTTTTGCTCCCCTGGACACGGGAGGATTCGAGTCTCTGGGGTAGTCACATCCTGGAAACAGCTTTTTTTTTTACATCTACCCACAGAAGGAGCTTGATCTTTTATCAGGATACACACACACACAGGCACACGTGTGCATGGATTTCTAGCCGTCAGCAGATAGAGCTTCGTATATATAACAAAAAAGTTAAGAAACATTATCTTCATTATGTGCAAAACGTCCTGGTATTTTAAACATCTTCACTGCAACCTCCTGAGTCGGATTCACGGCCCCCTGTCTGGGTGATGTCGCCTTGTAGGTGGAGAGCTCCCAAGGTCATTTGCTCCCGCGTCCAGCCCAGGGTCTGCCCTTCACACAAGGCCCATGGTCCTTCCTTAGCTGGTATCAGAGCCTCGGGGACCTGGGCTCGGGGAGGGGGCTTTCTCAAACCCACCCACGTCCCCAAGCTGTCACAGAGTGTCAGGGCCCCCAGGCCCACCCTCAGGTTCAGTGTTTGGCTACAAGGCCTCAGAACTCAGAAAAGCTGTTACGTGGGGGCTGTGGTTCATTATGATGAAAGGATATGACTCCTAGGGAGTCAGAAATTGCGCTCAATTCTCCCAGCTGCAATGTGTGACGATATGTACAGCGTGTCACCAACCCGGGAAGCTCACCTGAGCCTCAGCATCCAGGATTTACTGGGGCTCACGTGCACGTGGCTGACCTCCACGTGCCCGGCCTTGGTCTCTGGCCCCTGCAGAGGTCAAGTTGATACCCCACAGCGACCCCCGTAGATCACCCTGTAGCACAGACGACCTGGCCTGGCCCCTGTAAACAATCCTCAGGATGTTTGAAGTCACCTCCCGGGAACTGGCTGAGGGCAGGTCTTTGCTTGGGCGGGTACAGGGTGTTACAAGCCTGGCCCACACACACCGCCGGTGGCTGTCTGTCCAGTCCGGCTGCTCTCCAGCTGGTCCTGCTGCAAACAGGCCGGGGATGCCAGGCCTTTCCCATTGGCCCCGCTGCCCTGGACCTTCCAGGAGCCTGGGAGGGCAGAAGGCCCCCAGACGAGGCTCGGGCCCAGGAAGCCCTGAGCGCGGGCACGCTCCTGTGATGGGGGGCCTGCAGGTCCTGGGGCTCCCCACCCCCCTGGGCAGAGGCCTGGCTGGTGCGGGCTCTGCACACCGCAGTGCCCGTCCCGCCTCGCTTCCGGCTTCGCAGAACCCCGGCGTGGACTTTGGGGATGTGTCCGAGCGGCTGGCCCTGCGCCAGAGGCTGAAGTGCCACAGCTTCAAGTGGTACCTGGACAACGTGTACCCGGAGATGAGGACCTACAACGACACGCTCACGTACGGAGAGGTACCGCCTCCGAGGGATGGCTGCACCCTGCACCCCGCACCCGCGCCCCGCCTCCCGGCATCCTGGCCTGTCCCCGGGCACACGTTCACGGACAGCAGCCAGCAGAGCACACAGGCACACTCATGCGCACGTGGCACACACCAGTGTAAGAGCCACAGGGACACACACTCGTGCCTGCATACCAAGGTACACAAAGTAGATTCAGAGACACGTGTGTGCATACGTATCTGTGTCGCACACGTGTTTATACATGCCCTCATACGCATGCATTGATCCTGCAAACATGCATATGGGTGTAAGTGCACACAGACACAGAAGTGCACATTTGCACACTGTTTTGCTCACAGACACACAAATAGCTGCCTGTACATCTTCATCTGTGTATGCAGACCCCGCCCAAGCTGCCTGCCCTGCACGGTACAAATACTTGTTACTGAGACAAAATGACACCTGAACACATAAGTACATATGCGCAGAGGCCTGCACATGGATGCATTCACACACACAGCCATGTTTGTGTGCCACAATACCTGCATGTGAGTGCACGACAGAAGGACACACAGACTCACACCAGTACAGGCACCAGCTGTGGGAAGACCCACGTGTCTGCACTGGCCCCCAGGTGCACGGCCACGCACACCTCTCCTTAAAGCCGGGGGAGGGCACTGCGTTCCTGCCCACTCGTCCTGGCCTGTGCTGGGGGACAGGCCTCCCCCTACCCCAGGCCTCAGCTCCTCCACGGGGACCCAGGCTCCCCAAGGCGAAGGAATGCAGGAACTTAGGTGGGCCAAGCAGAAGTGATACCAGGGGGCGGGGGATAATCCCAGGAGGCCTGTCCGTTCCTGGAGCTCCTGGTACACCCCCAAGCCAGATTCCCACTCCTCTGGACACAGAGGTTTCCCACATGACAGGGAGCTCCACGGATGCATATCAGCAGCGTGGGTGGGAGGCCACTGTCCTCCCAGCCCCTCCCAGGCTGCCCTGCGTGCTCCTGACCACAATGAGTCAAATTCATGCATCGCCCACCCACAGAAGCTGTAACGTTAGGAACTTTGCCAGCTGACAAGGTTCAAACCTGTGCTACCTCTTGGGGTGGGAGTGCTGTGTCAGTTAGTTAGTGCTGCCAAACAAACATCCCTAGAACACAGAGGGTTCAAGCAGTAAGCCTCCGTGATTGCTCACAAGTCTAGGGGTCATCCAGGTAGCCCTGACCTGGGGCAGGCTGAGATGACCTCGGCCAGTCTGACATCAGGTCTCTGGGGGCAGGCTCACCCACACACCTGGAGGGTGGCTGGCTGTCAACAGGGCACTGGGGCGCAGGTGACATGTCTGTCAGCCCCGGGGGGAAGCTCAGCTTGTTCTCAGGGTAGAGTCAGGGTTCAAGGCAGAGTGGGAGCCGCAGGTGTCCTGAGGCTCAGAGCTGCACACAGCCATCTCCGTTGCATCTATTGGCTGAGCAAGCCTCCAAGCCAGACCAGACTCGGGGGCTGTGGGAGTAGCCCCCCGACCCCCGGTGAGGGGACGAGCTGCAGTCACGCGGCAAAAGGCGTGAATGTGGGGAGGCTGTTCCCGGGAGCCAGCCAGGCCCTCCTCGCTGTTTTCCAAGGCTACCGCTTCTGTGGCGAGCTTCACCTGGGGAGGGTGGCCGGGTCTACACGCACATGCACGTGCACGCACGCATGCACGCACGGCACATCTGTCCACATCGCCCCCAGAGCCAGGCGTGGTCATCCCTTCCGAGGAGCCCAGCCAGTCCCTCTGCAGCCAGCCCACCGGCCAGGGCACTGTCCTCTCCCTCCTCCGCCCTTTCCCCTCCTCTCCCCTCCCCCTTCCCTTCCTCCCCCCTCCCCCTGTCCCTCCTCTTATCCCAGGAGGGCCATCCCTTCCTGAGACCACAGGCCCTGGGCAGGGGACAGGTCGATAAAGCTCCCTCTAGCCTGCCTCTGCCTTTAGGACCGTTGTGATGGGGCCTCTCCTTTGATTTCTGGTCGTAGGTGAGAAACAGCAAAGCCAGCGGCTACTGCTTGGACCAGGGGGCAGAAGACGATGACCGTGCCATCCTGTACCCCTGCCATGGGATGTCCTCCCAGGTAGGGGTGGCGGTGACGTTCCTGTGGGCCACACCCCCGAATACAGGTGGAGGTGGCTCCCGGGGGGCAGAGGCAGGCCTGCCGGGGCATTCTGATGCCGTGCAGGCTGTGAGCTCAGGCCCTGGGTAAATTAAGAGCAACGGCTTTGCTTTGGGCGAATCACCTGACACCTGTGCCTCAGTTTCCCCATCCATCGAGGGGATGATCATGGTACCTATTTCTCAGGGCTGCAGTGTGGACTGAAGTGGAAAATGAGGGTAAACGGTAGCCACAGTGTAGACGTAACCCCGGAAGTATGACAGTAGCCACCAGTTCTTATCAGCGGAATGTCTACCAAGCGATGCTCAGCTCAGAATCATCACCTGGAGGGCTTTAAAAACAGCCACACGGTGTCCAGACCCCAGGTAGGCGTGTTTTCAGAGGTGGTGGTGCTGGTGCGCTGGCCCCCGATGCCCAGCCTGATGTTTCCATCCCAAGTGGACCCACCTTCTGCTTGCGGTGACACTGCTGCTTCTCAGTGGGTGCGATTTAAATTCACCCCCGAAATGACACTCGGCCCCCTTGAAGCCCTCCGAGCCTGCTCCCGCTCTGGGACATCCACGGGAGCTGACACATCCACACAGCCGCGCGGGGGTCCATCACGGGCGCGAGGTGCCAAGCCTGTGACGACAGAGAAGACGTGCTCCCCTGGCACCCCTGCAGCCTCTTCACAGGACCCCCGCTGGCACGTGGCCTTGCCTTAGGAGCGCGAAGCCGAATCACCCATCGAGGTGCAAACGTGGCCTCCCGGGAGGAATCCAGTTTGCTGGGCCCTCGGCTGCAGGAGGGGAATCCTCTGGCCGGCACAGACCTGAGGTGAGAGGCCGCGTCTGTGGGGTGTCGCCGGACACCCCCTGCTCCCTCTGCGACTCCAGGTGGCTGGGTGGACGGTGGTCATTTCCCAGCGAGCCCTGCTGTGGAGCGAGGCAGCACGGGGCCAGCCTCGGAGGCGTCTGGGGCAGTGAATCGCGTGGCTGAGTGAGGCGTGGGTGTTCCAAGGACGCCGTGCCACGCCTGGGGGAGCCCCCCGCTGTGAGTGGACCCTGGGGCGGCCTGCAGAAGCGGCCTCGCTGCTGGAACCGGGGTGGATGTGGACGCAGGTGGACGGGGAGGCCTGCCCACGGGACCGTGCCCCACGGAGAGGTCGGGGGGACCCATGTGCCCACCAGGCCGTACACGCCCGTGGCGGCGTCTCCTTTGCAAATGACGTCAGTCGGTTTGGTCTCGGTGGAGGCTTCTGAAGTGTTCACGGGGACAAGCCACATCCCCAGACCCCGATCCCCGGCTGTGTTAGTGTCCTGGGGCCAACTGGGAACCGGTTTAAATGACAGGTGTTTATTCTCTCAGCTCTGGAGACCAGAAATCTGAAATCACGGCATGGGCAGGGCTGTGCTCCCTCCTGAGGCTCTAGGGCCACCCTTCCCACCCCGGCGGTCCCACAGTTCTTGTCTGGCGGCCGCATCCCTCCAGGCTCTGCCTCCGTCATTGCGTGGCCTGTGCGGGCCTGTGGCTGAGCCTTCACCCTGCCTTCTCCTTGTGTCTCTGTTTTCTCTGCTTATCAGGATACCAGTCATGTTGGATTAGGGCCGCCCTAACCCAGTACGACCTCATCTTACCTTGAGCACTTCTGTAATGATCCTGTTTCCAAATAAGGTCACGTTCACAGGTGCCGGGGGTTAGGGCTTCAACATGACTTTTGGGGGGAAACAGTTCAGCCTACAACATAAAGAAAGCCAGTCTCGGACCAAAATCTGCACACGTACAGATGGTTAGTAAACAGTCTTCAAGGAGCAGACACAGACCAGTGCGTGGACCCCTCACGAGGGGGCCCAGCCCTCTGTCCTCTGTCCTCTGCGCTGGCCTGACCAGTGTGAGTGAGAGGGACACGGGGCAGGCGCGTCCACGTCCGTGTGGGCATGCGACCCCTCCTGGGCTGGACTCGACTTAGCCTGGGGGTCGTTAGGAGGCCCTTCCTTTAACCTGTCAGGTTTTATTCTGACCACTTTCAAACTTCCAGAAAAGTAGAAAAGTCTTCAGATGACCAACCACACACTCATGGGGTCAACAAACAGCAGCCTGCCGGCCAAAGAAAAGTTTTTACCTTTTTAAAGCTTTATGGAGGGAAAAGAAGGGGAAAATGTGCAGCAGTAACTATGAAGCACACATGCTTGTTCCCTGCCCTTCACAGACACGGTTCTCCACCCCTGATCCAGATGCAGTGCTGTTCAGATCGGGCCGTAGTTGCATCATTTGTTTTTTTCTGAGTCATTTTAAAGCAAGTTGCAGGCGTCAGGTCCTTTCACCTCGGAGTATTTCAGAACGCATCTCTAAAAGTACACAGCTTCCCCACAAGCCAGCGGCGACACCTGTGGTCACCGAAGCCCTTCCTAGCCTGGCTCGCTGCCCCGCTCGGCGTCTGGGACAGACCTCCCTGAGCACAGGCCGTGCTGGCTCCCCGGCACTGAGGCTCCTGCTTCCGAGCTCCGCCAGGTCCTTACCTGCGATGCTGAAGCTACAGGTGGCAGGGGCTCCAGCTTGGAGCTTGTGCTGGACATTTCAGGGGCTGCGGACCCCATATTCAAATCTCCGTGGCTTCAGAAAGTTTACAGAGAAGGGACACGAGCATATCTGTGACCACCTGTCCCCAGGCAGAATGGCCCGCAAGGACCACAGTCTTTATTTTACTCACAGATTTGCAGCAGGACCCACTCTGCACGGCACTGCCCAGGCTACCCGGCAGGCTGGTGAGGCCACGTCTGAGCCACCGTGAGCTGCCACTCCGGGGCCTCGGCCCCTCCCCACACGGCCTCCCCCCTGCTGCTCAGGCCTCCTCACCCTGGAGCGGTGATGCCGAGGACGGTCGTCCCAGGAGACGTGGGAGGTGTCACGCGCGTTTACGCCCAGCCCCCGAGTCTGGTGGCACCAATTCCAGGATGTTCACATGCTGCCCCCAGGAGGACGCGGGAGAGAACGTGGGCCCCATGCTAAGCGGGGGTGGCAGAGTCGCAGGGCCGCACGAACATGCAGGAGAGGTGCTGTGCCTTCAGATTGTACTGGAAAACACAGCAGAGTGTGTGTGCGCGCGCACACCCACTCTTCTGGGAGAGAGAACGTGAGAAAGGAGAGGACAGAAGCACTTGACCGACCCCGGCACCAGCTGTGCTCAGCCTGCGCTCCACACGCCTGTAGGTTCCTCACGGTGGCCCTGCCAGGCAGGCACTGTCATCATCTCCCACTCACAGATGAGGAAACTGAGGCACAGAGAGGTGACGTGACTCGCCCAAAGCCACACAGCCGGGGAGCGGAGGAATCTAGAGCACTGGTTTCCTTGTGAGCGCACAGGCGTTACTTAGCTGGTGTTTGGCAAATGAACATGGAACCATGAACTTGGGGCGGCCTCCGGTTCGAGGGCAGACGGGCGGCCTGGGGCACGTGTGAAGTCCTCCTCGTCTGAGGCCGAGGCTCTGGGCCCCATGGAGGGAGGGGTCCGAGCAGAGCTCCGGGGAAGGAGTCCAAGAGCATCCTGCTGGGGGAATTTGTGGAAGAAAGGGGGCTGGGGCCGTGGGGCCACCGGAAGGCATCCCCCGTGGGCTCCCTACCCACAGCCTCTCGAGTGCTCTGGGGCCGAGGGGGCTCCTCGGGGCCCGGCCCCTCCCCAGCAAGCCTGGCCCCTGACCGGGCTGGCCCGGCCCGTGATGCCCCACCTACTCCCTCCAGGGCCTCAGGCAGGTCCCTGTGAGGCCAGCCCCAGCCCACTGCCCGCTACGCGCCTCTCCCCAGCTGGTGCGGTACAGCGCCGAGGGCCTGCTGCAGCTGGGCCCCCTGGGCTCCACCGCCTTCCTGCCCGACTCCAAGTGCCTGGTGGATGACGGCAGGGGCCGCACACCCGCCCTGAGGAAGTGTGAGGACGTGGCCCGGCCAGCACAGCGGCTGTGGGACTTCACCCAGGTCAGCGGGCTGCTGGGACCCCGGGCCGCTGGACCAGCCTGTGGGGAAGCCGAGGGCAGCGGGGGCTGCAGCTGCTCCCATGTGACCCCCTCACGGACGTAAGGGGACCTGCCAGCAGCCACAGCCAGGGAAGGTCCGGGCTGTTCACAGCCCTGTGGCTGCCTCTTTTGGCCTCCTGGGGAGGGGCTTTAGGCAGAAGGGATGGGGTCCGACTGTCCCGGAAGCCCCGCCCCAGCTGCTGGCCAAGTGGGGCCAGACTGGACTCCCCAGAGATTTGTTGAAATCGACCCAACTCCTCCCATGCAGGAGACCCTGGGACAGGTGTGTGCCCGGTCCTGTCTGGGGGCTCCCGGTTACAGGAGAGGCTGCAGGGATGAGCTGTCACTGTCTCAAGTGGACCCAACAAGAGCAGCGGGTCCCCGGGAGGCCGTGTTTGGGGCCAGGACGCTGAGCGCCAGCGTGCATGGGAGGGACCTGTCTGGAGAAAGACAGAGGACGTACAGGACATGAGCTTGGGGGTCCTTGGGTTTGGGCCAGGGCCCTTGATGTCTGGGGGACCAGAGGGCCTGCACCGATGGGCACATCAGACGTGCCAGGGGTCAGGGAGGCAATTCTGGGGGAGACGCCCATCTCAGGGGCCCTGGGTCCATTGTCTTGATCACTCCTGGGACTCCAGGAGAAGGGAGATGGCTGATGGGGGCAGGGGCGGAAGGACAGAGGGATTGGGGGACAGAGGGATGGGGGATAGGGGGTCAGGAGGGACAGAGGGTCAGTGGGGACAGAGGGATTGGGGGACAGAGGTCACTGAGGACAGAGATGGGGGAACAGAGGGTCAGGAGGGACCGAGGGATGGGGGACAGAGGGACTGGGAGAGTCAGGACCCCGAGTCTCAGGTGGCAGTGCAATGACCCGCTTGGCCTTTGTATCACCCCCACTCCTTGGAAGCTCTTGTGATGGGACCCCCGGGCTGACTGGGTCTCCTTCCCGTGCAGGGCGGTCCCATCGTGAGCAGAGACACGGGCCGGTGCCTGGAGGTGGAGATGTCCAAGGACGCCAACTTCGGGCTCCGGCTGGTGGTACAGAGGTGCTCGGGGCAGAAGTGGACCATCAGAAACTGGATCAAGCCAGGGCGGCACTGACCCCCAGGCTCACCCTGTGCCCCCGCCCCAGCGCAGACACCAAGGACCTGGGGCAGGCATGGGGCCCCTCCCACTCAGCCCACCACTGGAACCCAGAGGGCCCTGGCCGTGCCCACACCCCCTCGGGGGCGGGGGACATGTTCTCAGCTGCCGGCGGGTCATGGGGACATGGGGGCCTCCCCCCCTCCAGGAGCGCGGACCCCCCGCAGCTGGCGGCTCTGCCTGAGCGCATCAGCTGACCGCCAACTCCAGATCCAAATCACGTGCCTTTTCTACGGTATTCCTGTCGAGCCGCCAGTGGCCACCTCCTTGCATGTGCTGAAGCTCCCGTCCATCCCCCAGGCAGCAACAGCCCCCTGTGAACTCCAAGCTCCTGACCTCTCCGCCCTTTGGTGGGGCTGCCCCGGTGACCACCTCCATCTAAACCGAGCGGAGCTAGGCTCTCGCTGGCTGGTGAGGGGGGATGGGGACAGCAGCTGCAGTGGCCTCAAAGACAACCCCCCGGCAGCGCTTGTGCGAGGAGACTGATGTGACTGCTTCAGTCCAGTAAAGAGTGATTAAACCTTACAGACCTGATGTCTTGCCCACAGGAGCCAGAGCTGGTCGGCCGTCCAGGGAGGGACCCTGTTCTAGCGGCTCACCCGGGGCCAGGCACCTCTTGTGTTGCTCTAAGGCAGGGGTCAGCAAACGATGACCCGCGGCCCCGCGCCTATTTTTATAAATAAAGTTTTATTGGCACACGGCCACACCCCTTGGTTTATGTACTGTCCACAGCGACTTTCACACTCCAGGGCTGGAGCTGATAAGCAGCACACCCCCACCAGGGCTGTCCCAGGGCCTCCAGGAGGTCCTCTCAAGATTGCACTTAAAATTGCAGGACAGGGCTTCCCTGGTGGCGCAGTGGTTGAGAGTCCGCCTGCCGATACAGGGGACGCGGGTTCGTGCCCCGGTCCGGGAGGATCCCACGTGCCGCGGAGCGGCTGGGCCCGTGAGCCATGGCCGCTGAGCCTGCGCGTCCGGAGCCTGTGCTCCGCAACGGGAGAGGCCACAGCAGTGAGAGGCCTGCATACCACACACACACACAAAATTTGCAGGACAAAAAGTTCTGCCCGTCCCCTTCGCCCATCAGGTGCAGTGCCAAGCTAGCCTCTTCCCAATCCTAGCTGCTTCCTCCTGCCTCCTGTCCGATGGTGGAAGGCCTCAGCTGTGCAACGGGGAGGGGCCCCAGGGCTTGTCTCACCCAGCCATGGAAATGAACAGCAGATGGGATGCCAAGCTCCTGAAAGCCAACCCACCTAGCTCCCCACACCCCCATGCACAGGGTCTCCTGGCCCCTTTGGTGGTCTCCCAGGGACAGAAATTTTGGGCACCATCAGTAACTTCCAAGTTTCTTCCCATTCGTATAGAGTAACCTGGAAAGCAGGGTGGCAGGGTTTCCAGACATCAGGGCTTCAAGCTGGGGGGCTTGAAGATCCTACCTGTTCTCACTTTGCTGTGGCCAGGCAGCCCATCCTTCCAGAAGACGGGGAGCCAGTCCATCCCCCACACGTCCCGGGCTCCCCGCTCTTGCTCCCTGCCTCTCAGTCATTAGTCCCATAGAGCCTCCTTCTGGGAGAGGAAAAGTCCCTCTTCTGGTAGTGCCAGGGATCTTATATCTCATGGGGGAATTTTCCCCAAAGAAGAGAGGAAAATTTTCCTGGAAGATATGAAAGAAACAGAAGCGTTACTGAACCAAACTTGGGTCCGGTCGCCTCTGCCCACAGTAAAGCCCATCTACTGACGTGAGTTTGTGGTGAAGGGAAAGGCAGAGTTTATTGCAGGGAGCGAGCAAGGAGTCCAGGTAGTTAGTGCTCAGAAGACCCGCACTCCCTGAGGGCTTTCAGGGAGAGGAAAAGACAGGGTGAGGGAGGGAGGTTTCCAGGCGCGTGATCACCTCGTGGACATTCTTCTGATTGGCTGGTGGCGAGGTAATCGGGAGTCGACACCACTGACCTTCAGGTTCCAGCCGGTCTGGGGTCTCCGTGCTTGTGCTCAGCATAGAGTTAACTTCCTCCCCCTGGTGGGGGTCTCAGTATCTGCAAAACAGCTCAAGGACACGGCTCAGCATAGTATCTACAGCCCTCGAGGAGGAGCTAAAGACCCTTGACTTTGTTTAATGGTGAAAATATTGTTATTTTGTCTTGCTTGACTGTTTTCCTTTCTTTCTGCATGTTCTCACTTCTCTGATTAAATTTATTCTTTGAAACTTGGGGAAGGCATAGGAGGCTAAAGTTTTTCTGCAGACAAGAGGCAGGCAGAGGACATGGCGGGGGCAGGGGGTCTGTCCCAAGAAGGCCCCACAGGGTCCTGCTCCGTTACAGAAGTGAACTCTGGGTCTCTGGGGAGTGAGGGCTCTGGCCTTCCCTCGGAGTCTGAGGGGGCATGTTGGTGATGCATCCATGGCCCCCTTGCCCTGGGGTGAAGTGATGAATCTACACTTCACTGTCCTCCATCCCAAGCCCAGTGGCATGTGCCCCTCCCCCAGTGCCCTGCCCACTGGGCACCCTCTTCCGCTTCTCCTTCCTTGGGGATCCTGACCCCATTCCTCCAATTCCTTGCTTCCTGCTGCTGGGAGAGCTCTGAAGTGTCCCAATTTCTCCATTCTCAGCAGAGAATACTACCAGCTCTAGCCCAAGTCCCCCAAACCCTCTCTCTATTCCAGATTTTCCCCCAAATTTAAGACGATGATGGAGGCAAAAAAACTGGCAATGAGTGAAGCCTTAAAAGCCAGTCTCTAGCCAAGGACTGGTCTGCAGGAATACAAAAGTTTCTTAAGTGAAATTACGACACGTAGCGGCCATTAGCATGCAAAATGCATTGCCTGTGGTTTAAAATAGAAAATATCACAGGCTCGAACTTCTAAACCTCACTTGTGTTACAATTCATTAGGCAGATTGACACTTGCATCAAAGTCGGCTGGTTTGTAGCCCACACAGGATCCCATGAAAGCCTGACACCTGGAAAAATTGCTTCTCAATGTCTTGACAAACCTCTCATCCCCTTAGGAGGTGGTGAGTTCCCGTGTTTTGAAACCCTGCTCGTTCTGTCAGGGTCCTGCCTGGCACCAGGACACGTGAGGACAAAGGTGTTGACCAGGCAGGGGGTGCTGACTGGGTCCACGGGCAGTGGGACTAAGCCAGTCAGCCCATCGCGGCCCAGTGCCGTCCACGGTCTCCTAGTGGGAGGCAGCTGTCTATCGGACCCGAGTGGCCTTCATCTTAAACGTGGCCCTGGAGCACGCTTATGTCTATTCCCTGCAGTCCTTACCTGCCTCATGAGCAGGTGTATCCCTCGTGAGGATCGCCCTTTTCTAGAAGAACCACCCAAGAATCCTGCGGGTAACTCCATGCAAAGAGTCCCCACCCAAACGTCAGCTGGAACGAGAGTTGAAGGTGGACCACGGTTTCCATGCTGCTCTGTGTGGGGCAGCCACTTGGTGGTGCCACTGGGAGCGGTCCCTGCAGTTTTGTGGTCGACACTTGACCACGGCTGGTGGGACGTCCCTGCTGGTCGAGACCCCTGCCCACACCCCAGGCGTGCCTCTGTCTGGGGCCAAGTTCACAGAGCTTTCTAATTCATGGTACATGCACATTCATTGGCCCCCACCTCTGTAATCCTGGGTTCAGAATAACCGCTAACGCCATCCACGGACGTACTGAAGCCACCCCGGCCCCCTAAACCATTTGGGCCTCCTGTTCATACTTCCGTTACCTTAGGGACAATGTTTCTTCTTTGTCTTGTTTTCTAACCACTGGCCCATGGCTGAGGCCACCCCTATTGTACCAGCCTTCATCCCATCTGTCAGACAAAGGGAATTTGATACCAGGGATTGATCACGCAAGTTACGGAAGGGCTGAGGCATCCCAGGGACTCATCTTCCATTGGCTGAAGGGACCTGGAGGGGGTGGTATAACTAGAGCCAGGAGCCACAGCCAGAAGGACGGATGGATGAGACACGGCGCTTCCAGAAAGAGCCCTAAAACCAGAGATGGGGAGGGAAACACCCTGGTTTCTCTCCACCCTCCAATTTTCCAACATATCCTTTTGGCTGACGCCACCTGGAGCTGAAGGACAAGAAACATGGGACACGTAACGCTCTGCTTTGCAGGACAGGGCCATAGAGGCAGGAGGCGGGTCTGAGCGTAGGCCCGGAGGTGGCGGCCACAGCTCATCTCAGCTGGACCGGAGTCCTGACTCGGGCGGGTTTGAAGCCGGGCCAGAGGGTCCCCCTGCCCTGCAGAGGGCCCAGGACGCCCTCCCCTCTTGTGGGGCCTGGGCTGAGAGGCACCCATGATGAAATCAGGCTTGCTCTGTCACCCACAGCAGCACCTGAAGCTGGACCACTCCAGCTGGCAAGAGCCAGTTTTGAAATTTTCAGGAATTTTGTGCACCAGTTGTGAACCAGAGCTATTACTGCAAACAAACTGCATGAACTTACAATTCAATTATATTAAAAGCAAAGGTAATAAATACTCAAAACTCACCACTTCCTGGTGATTTACTCTATTTGAGATTATTTGCGTTTATGTATCCGGGCGGTGAGGACAGTGGCGAGCTCCTGTTCTCAACTCCACGCTTTACAGAGCAGGTCAGACAGTGATAAGCAGCAGGCAAAATGCGTGTTGGATGGTGGTAAGCGCTGAGGAGAAAAGCAAAGCACCACAGAAGAGGGAGAGGCTGGTGTGCAGATCCTTAAAGAGACATCAGGGGAGACCCCACGGAGAAGGTGCCGCTTGAGCAAAGACCAGAGAGGACAGCCTGTGCAAATGCCCTGGGGCAGCAGCAACCAGAGGGCAAGTGCCCTGGGCTGGGGCAGGCGAGGGGAGAGGAGTGGAGGCGGTCAGAGCAGGGCAGCGTGTAGGCCTTGCAGACCCTCGGGGAGTGCCTCCAGCTGGGGTGTGGGGTCATCAGGGGTCGGGCGGGGCAGCGCCACTGTCTGCGGCGGCAGAGACCGTGAGGACTGGA